TTTGTTTCTCAGAAGTCACTTGAAGAACGAAACACTGTCGCGTCGAATTTTAGTCGTTTCTCTCTCTCTGACTCTCTCCGTCGTCGCAAGAGCGAATCAATCCTCGTCTGTACATTCTCGCTGCTTTTCTTCTCCATCTTCTCATGCGGTTTCCTCTGCCATCTTAGTCCTTCTCCGTAAAAGCTCGCAGGGTAGAGTTTTCGTCTCTAGGCATGGCTCTTCCGTTCGGGAAGCTTACCATCCTCATCGGTGCAGGTCCGTTCATTTATAGGGGGCTTCTCTTTTATTACTCAATAATTGGTCGTTGCTCGAATTCTTTTTGGGTTTTGATTGGGTTCTCGTCGATGGGACATCGCAGCAAGAGGATGATGAAAAATTAGGGCTTTTGATAAACCCTTAATTCCTGTTGAATGATCAGTGTGCTTGATCTAGATCTCAATCATCGACCACGAATTTTAAGGGCTTTTGATCTTTTAGTATGCTCACTGGGTTGATTTTCATTTTGTAGTGTATTTTCTTCGGCCCTATCTATCGGAGGAGAAGTTTATGTTCATCTACAATGATAAATTGGTATCTTACCTGATGTTCATCTAACGTATTTTTACTTTAGGTCTTGTTGGGTCAGTGCTTGCTAAAGAAAGTGGCTTTTCAGATGTATCGAACATGGTCACAGGTGCTTTGAAGGTATAAATATCTATGTTTCACTGCTTACTATTCTCTTGTATACCAAAACGTGGGTTGGTGACTCCCTGTGTCTATGATGCTGTTTGGAAAAATGGAGCTAATGGTTATTTCTCTTGACAGATTGTATTTAGGCAACTGAAACAAGAAGAACCTGCCAAATCAGTGAGCAAACCCCGCAATGATATACTTATGGCCCAGGTTAGTTTCGGATTAATCTACTTACTGGCGAGGATAAGTTATTAAATAGAGGTGGATAAGCTAAGACTTGTGGGGGACTTAGAAATTTACTTGTCTGGACTTATGTTCTTGTAGGTTAACAGTCTTAGGAATGAATTGCAGTTGCTGTCTTCAAGCAGACCGATCACTATTGTTACGACAGCAGGATCAGGTGCTATAGAGTTTTAATGTTGAAATTTTGTATGCCTTTCTGCTCTAATTTTCTGCATTATAAATCTGGGACAAATGACCAAAATGGTTCAGCTATTATGCTGATGTGAAACAGGACAGTGGAACCTTTCTCATTCTCTAATATTTGCTTGTATTTTTCTAGCCATGGTTTTTGTTGTGGTTTTTTTCCCTTTTTATGCTACTTTTTTCGCATCAATGAAGGCAAACTTATGTTCTGAGCATTGGCATTTTCTTCTTAACATTAGCAAGTCATTTCATTAATGTGACATCATTCTTTGTTTACTATTAGTCATTGCTCAAAAGCAAATATAACAATTTCCTTCAATAAACAGGTGGGAGAAAGTATGGTTTAATCATTATAATTGGGGTGATAGGCTACGGATATGTATGGTGGAAGGTAATAATACTTTACGATGCCTTAGCGACTTAAAAATAATTACTTGCTCGTTTGAAGTGCTGTTGGCTAGTCAAGATTTTGTATCTTGGAAAACCATTCATTTGGTTCTCCTTGACAATTAATTTGACCTGGTTGATTTTTTTATAGTTCCTTTTTCTTTTGTGAAAACTTAGTGGCACTGGTCTATACTGCAACATTTTCAGGGCTGGAAACTTCCAGATTTTATGTTTGCAACAAGACGCAGTTTATCAGATGCATGTAATAATGTTGGCAACCAGATCGATGGTTTCTACTCATCGCTCTCGGCAAGTTGTTACCACTGAGCTCTATTCTTATCAGTTATAATGGTTCCTTTTGTGAGCTCATCCATCCGAATGATTTCAGTTGCAGAACATCAATATTTGTCTCATTTTGTTTCCGTTAACATTCCATGACAGGGTACAAAACGGGAGTTAAGTTCAAAAATTGACAGGATGGGTCGTACTTTGGATGCAAATACAGAAATTATTCAAGAAACAGGACGAGAGGTATGTTAAGATTGAATGTACACACATATTTTTGTTTGACTATGTTGTCATGGCTATCTGATGATTCTACGTGCTTTCTTGATAATTGATCAAAATGTTAAGGTGGATGAACTACGGGATGGTACAGCAAACATGAAGGTTGACGTTAGGTCTGTTTTCGATGCTGTTGAAACTCTGGTGAGAAAATTTAGTAATTGCATAAATGTTCACCAATTTGTTCTCCTTTAATTTAAAAAGTGGTGTTATTGTGATCTTCGTGATTGTCAGGCAAGCAAAGTCTACCGCATTGAGGGAAATCAGGTAAGATTTGACACAGTTGTTGATTTATATATGCTCATCAGGCAATGTACTGATCAAATTTGAATCTCTTTGCTATTCATAAAGGATATCACGCTTAAAGGAGTTGTGGCTCTGAATGCTCAGTGTCAGGAGAACAGAAGAATTCAAGAATTCAATCAGGCATGATGAGCCTTCTTTGTTGCGCAGTTCTTTTTAGGGAAATCGCTACATAATCTACATTTTCATCTTATTTTGCCCAAACTTCTTTTATGTGTAGGCTTTGCCATCAACTTCATCAGTGCCAGCCATTGAGCAAGCTCCTATGACACCATCGTCAAGGGTAAATGACTTTGAACCTTTTATCTGGTCTCACAATAAATTTCATCACATTAGTAGGATTGTCACCGATCTTATTTCTGTCTGGTGTTTTGATGTTAGCAGACTCTGTCTTTGCCTCCTGTTTCTCCCCGTGAATCCCTGGCTCCATCAACCCCTAATGGAGCTCAACAGGTTTGTCTCTTCTAATCTCAAACAAGAAATTTGAAACGAAAATTCTTTGTGCTGAGTACTGATTTTTCATTTGGACAGTCGCATGGTGCACTTCAGCACACTCAATCTATGTCTGGTTTGAAGGACATAAGTGAAAGCTCTAGCAGCCGCGAGACTATATCAAATGGAACACATTCTGGAGAAGCCATGGGAAACACGAGTTCAGGCCTGTTTAGTATGTTCTCAATACCAAGAATAGGGAGGACTCGTAGTGCGGTCAACGCAGTGCCTGCAAAATCGACTGGACCCCAATAGTGGCTTGTCAGTACTGAAGAGAGGGAGTTTGATCATTCAAATATTAATGATCAATAGACCAGAAATGGGCAAGTGTTAGTAGATTTTGATGTATCTATACTCAGTCCCTTGCTTGGTGGAGAAAATGTCGCAAGTGGTGCGGCATATTTTTGTAGAGATGCAGCATATATATATTTTAATTGGGTCATATATGTCACAATTGCTATGCCCATTCATAAATCAGTTAAATTCACAGGATTATAGTGCAATAACTGGTCGACGACGATGGTTTTGTCTGGCCATCTCTTCTTTTCCTTTCTGTTTTTGAACAAAAGGTTGGTTGGTCCATTGATCAATTACATTGTTTCTACATAAAAGCCTATTTTGCATTTTCTGATACGTGCATGGAATTTAGTGAAATCATAAATGGTACAAGGTTGTAGCATCATGCTATCTTTGTTCAAGTTAACAATGTGTGCTCTAAAGTGATTATGCTAGTAAGCAAGCAAAGTAACCAAAATCATGGCATTTATATACTCCTCATTTGAAATTAATGAGCAACTATCTCCTTTTCTTCTGCTTCTCTCTATAACTCTCTGTAACCGTTATATAACCCAATAAAATATAAGCTGCATCCCTACAAAAACTATGCACCATTTATGACATTGTCTCGATGCACATGCAAACAGCAAAATCTATTTAAATCCTCTACTAGTTTACACATGCCAACTTCTACTTTGTAATCCTAAACTTTGAATGAACAATCTCTCTTCAGTTAGTAGGCACTGTGTTGACCGCACTAATTGTCCTCACTATTCTTGGTATTGAGAACCTACCAAGCACGCCCGACCTTGAGCCTGATGCACCGTTTCCCAGGGCTTCCCCAGTATATGTTCCATTTGATGAAGTCTCACGGTTGCTAGAGCTTTCACTTATGTCCTAAGACCCAAATTTAAAGAAGATTGTTTAGGTTAGGTTTGACGCATATTGATGATCAGAATTTGAGGGATAAGAAGGAAATAAAGAATCTTTACCTTCAAACCAGACAGAGATTGAGTATGCTGAAGTGCACGTCCAAATGAAATGTTGATACTCAGTACAGCGATATTCAGTTTCTAACCACTGATTAAACAAATAACAAACAAACCTGTTGAGCACCATTAGGGGTTGATGGCGACGGGGATTCACAAGGAGGTACAGGAGGCAAAGACAGAGTCTGCCAACATCAAAACACCAGAGAAACATAAGCAACAGAACAGAACAAGATCGGAAACAATCCCAATAACATGATAAACAGTTGTGACACCAGACAAAAAGGTCTAGCCATTTACCCTTGACGATGGAGTCATAGGAGCTTGCTCAAGGGTTAGCATTGATGAAGTTGATGGCAAGGCCTAAACACGAAACCGAGTCTGGGTAAATAAGATGAAAATGTAGATTACGTAGGCATTTCCCTAAAAAAGAACTGCACAATCAAGAAGGTTTATCATGCCTGATTGGACTCTTGAATTCTTCGGTTCTCCTGACACTGAGCATTCAGCGCCCCAAGTCCTTTAAGCGTGATATCCTTTATGAATAGCAAAGAGATTCAAATTTGATCAGTTCAGTGCCTGATGAGCATAAAAATCACCAACTACAACTGTGACAATTGTTACCTGATTCGCCTCAATGCGACAGACTTTGCTTGCCTGACAATCATGAAGATCACAAGATCAACTCTTTTTATGCTTTTAGGGAGGACAAACTGGTGAACATGTATACAATTACGAAATTTTCTCACCAGAGTTTCAACAGCATCGAAAACAGACCTAACGTCAACCTTCATATTTGATGTACAATCCTGTAGTTCAGCCACCTAAACAAACATTTTGATAAATGATCGAGAAAACAGGTATAATCATCAAAAATCCTTGACGACGCTGTGAAACGGAAGTATTTGTATACATTCCATCTAACATACTTCTCGTCCTGTTTGTTGAATAATTTCTGTATTTGCATCCAAAGTATGACCCATGCTGTCAATTTTTGAACTTATCTCCCGTTTTGTACCCTGTCGTGAAATGTTAACAGAAACAAAATGAGATAAAATATTGATGTCTGCAACTGAAATCATTTGGATTGATTAGCTCTCAAAAAGAACCATCATAACTGATAAGAACAGAGTTCAGCAGTGAAATCCTAAAAAATCTGTACAAGAGCAGTCTTTAAGAGCGCTAGAGAAAATATGGTAAGTAAGAACTTGCCGAGAGCGATGAGTAAAAACCGTCGATCTGGTTGCCAACATTATTACATGCATCTGACAAGCTGCGCCTTGTCGCAAACATAAAATCTGGAAGTTTCCAGCCCTGAAAATGTTGCAGAATAAATCAGTGCCCAGTAAGTTGTCAATAACAAAAAAAGAAACTACACAGATCAAATTAATTGGCACGGAGAACCAAATGAATTTTTTTTTCCAAGAACCAAAATCTTGACTAGACAGAAACACTTCAAACGGGTAACTATTTTTAAGCAGCTCAGATATTACCTTCCACCATACATATCCGTAGCCCAACACTCCAACTATAATGATAAAACCATACTTTCTACCACCTGGGAATTGAAGGAAATTGTTAATTATTTGCTTTCGAGCAACAATTAGTAGTGAACAAAGAACGATGTCTTATTAATGAAAGAACTTGGTAGTATTAAGAAGAAAATGACATCGATCAGAACATAAAGTCCGCCTTATTTGATGTG